TGTAGTGTACAATACGTAGGCGCCGCCCAATGCTTTGCAGAAGGGGGGACGTTTTTCTGAAAGCGAGGCGGGAGTTTTTCGTCTTTCTCTCCGAATATCTACCTATGCATATTCTATGTACCGTATTCCCCAACTGGGGCTTTCTAAACCGGGTCTGTCAGACGAATGTAAGATATTAGCGCTCTTATATAGTGTAGTGGCAGTGTTCCCGCGAAAGAGGCGTTTTCCCCATCGCCTGCATACCTAACGTACCTTAGGTACCTATGAAATATATACCTATAGCGTAATCTGTCGTGCTCCGCGCCTATCTGTCATTACATATTCGTGTGTAGTGTAAATCAGGACGATCGCATGGCTGAACTCGACAAGATCGAGAGGGGGGGCGGCAACGGGATCAAATTCCATGGCTGTCAAATATCGAAAACACAGGTTACATACACCACCTACCTTGCTTTAACATGATGGGGAAAAGAATGTCTGTACCTAGTGGGATGGGAAAAAGCCCATCACCTTGTAATCCGTAATAGTACACTACCCTTGCAACTCTAGCCGGAAGCCCGCCTTACGAGCTTCAACTACGGGTCTAGTACAACTAGCGCTTGACAATCCCACGAGTAAAATAGAAACGAATACAGGTATTTGCCAGGTACCGTGGGTAAGTATGTATGTAGGTTAGGTTAGGTACCTACATATAGCGTCCGCAAGTCCCGCACGGTCATGGGCCGGAGCGCTAGAAGAAGATCCCTAATACCGGGATGACACCCAAACCTGTTCCCCTTGCCGTCAACACATACAATACACTATGTATCATACGTATGTACCTAACGTATACACATACTCCAACCCACTTCGTCAGTTCGAGAGTTGCTTTGGAGCAGGGATTCCCGCGCGCGAATCCCAGCACCTAGCCAAGGTTCGATTTCTTCCAAATTTTTTTTTCTCTTTCCCTCCTCACCAGCGTGCGGGCATTGGGGGCTCCGGGGCTTGCACATATGTATGTACATATGTATGTGAGCTTGTGTAAGTCTCCCGTTTCCCGCCCCATCCATCCCATCCCATGCCATTCCCAGGTCAAAAGAAAAAACATGAGACCGAACCTCGACCTACAAACTTCTACCTCCTAGTAAACCTGTTAGGGCTTAGAGCAACAAAAAAAAAAAAAAAGAACCGTGGATTCCTATTTTTAACCTTCTAAAAGCTCTCGTCTCCCGCCTTACGGGCTCCCGGTCCAGTCTTCACTTTCTTCTACCCTAACTCCACCTCTGGCAGTTCGCTTGCTGCCATCTACCGCTTTAGCTTGAAGCTGTCCGCGAGCTAGTCAGCCCTGTTGCATAGTTCTACCGGCCTGGGCTTCCAAGGACGAACCGCGCTTCCGGCTTGCAAGGCAAGGTTGCCCTGACCTCGTCATCGCGGCCCCGTTACGTTTCACCTCATGATCTCGGTTGTTGATTGATATTTTGGGGATTCGCCGTCTTAGGGTTATAACTTGACCTATCTTGTTATCATCTGTGTGTCGACAGCTGTATACTCGCGCTCCATATGCTCGACTAGCTATCCCACGTCATCGACATCGACATCCAGGATCTGCTTATACATCTACAAATATATTATACCAAAAAGCTACTTACATCATATATATTAATACTTATCTTACTAACTATTCAGCAACTCCATAAACCATGGCTGAAGTAGACGTTGCTGGACCGAGGAGTCCGACTCTCGAGGCGCTCCAGAACCGCCAACGCGAAATGCGGCGAGCACGGCCGCCAGACATAACGATTATTAAAAATGAGAACAGAATCCCACTCCGGCCAGAAAGGTTAGAAAAGCGCGAATCTAGGATTGGCTTGAGGAGCTTATTCGGCAGGTCGAGATCGGGGAAGGATGATAGGACAGGAGAGGAACCATTGCCATCGCCAAAGGAGTCGCTACGACATGGCGGGAAACGTTCCTCGCTAGCTGACATCGGTGTCTTCCACCGGGGCCTTCATATGTCTCGCTCTGAGGTTTCTCTTTTACCTTCACCTTTGGCACTAGCAAAGCCGTCGCCGACTGAATCGCCTTCTCCAATAAGTTCTCGAGGACGGCGAGGTAGCAATGCCGCTAACAAAAGCAAACTTCATCAACCAGAATCGCCGAGAAGCCCGGCTACGGCTTTTGATCCGCCACCATTATTCAAGATGTACCCGCAAGCAATTAAGCATGCCACACTACCAGCTTGCGTCACCCCGATAGAAACCCTAGTTCGCTTCAGCGAGTCCAAAGATAGCTCACTACAAAATAACTTTTCGCAGGGTGACATCACTCTTGACCGACAAGAAGCAGGGCGGAAGGTAGAGGGAGATAAGAAAAAGAGATCCAAATTTGCGCCGGAATGGACCAGCAAGATTTACGCACTTGTCACCTCTGGATACTTACTCCAATATGCGGCCGAAGGCTCCTTCAATAGGCTACCTGAGAAGGTCTTACATCTCACTCGAGACTCGGCCGCTTATGCTAGCGACCTAATTCCCGGAAAGCATTGGGTTGTTCGAGTGACTTCATCCACGGATGCCGACGGAAACCCATCCACAGATGCGAAATCCCTTAGGTCTAGGCTTGCTCTAAGAGGAGTGGAGAAGCGACAAGTCTCTAACATGCTGCTTGTTTTCGAAAGCCCCGATACCATGGATGTCTGGCTCGCTATTCTGAGACGGGAGATCGAATCACAAGGCGGTAAGAAGAAGCTTTCGGAAACCGGAAACCCCGAAGCAGGCGACAGCGCTACTACGTTAAAGGCGCAGGCCAGCCAGAGGACCATTGTTGTTCGAGATCCGGCCCGTTTCTCGCGTATTATTTCCCAGGACTTCTCGTGGACTCAGGAGAACGCGCTTGTCGATCCCACAGAGGAGAGCGATTCCAACATGCCGCCATTAAAGCGACTGTCGGAGTCGACCGTGGACGATGACTCAAGTATGGTTTCGTCGGATGGTCAACGCCTAGACAGCCTCCGAGATAGTGGCACTGGCAGTGGTAATCGACTTTCCTTCATCTCATCCGGACAACGGACAATTGTGTCTTCGGCCGAGTCATCGCCGGCTCATTCCCCGATTCGAGCAAGTTTCTCGAGCCAGGAGGAATATCTATTCCAAAAGAATCAATCACCATTACCACCTACCCCGGAGGTTAGACTGCGTCCTAATGCCGCCGCAATCGCAAGTCGCAGACAGTCAATGCAGACTATGATCCCTGCTTTCGATCCTCGTCTGAATACGGGTAGTTGCCCGTCTTTGACCCTATCCCCTCCCCCTCCTAAATCAAGTCATGGCGACGGGCGTCAATTCGTACCTAACTTTAGCGTACCACATGCAGTGGGTAGACGATATTCGTCGTTGAGTCTGTCTGTAATCACCCCCCGATCCGAACAGGCGCAAGTAGTCAGCCGAGACGGGCCCGTTAAGCCTCCTCCCTTTCGAAGGAGTCCGCCGACAACTCTTTCCATCTCTCGTCCCCTCTCTATCGTTCTTGATCAGCCGCCACCAATATCACCTTGCTCGTCTAATTCACCCACCCTCCCAATCAACAAGGCACCTGCTTTACAGATGCCTGATTCACCGACCCTATTTAGCTCTTGGGCCAGCAATGCTCTAAAGCAGCGGTTGCAGGAAAGGGGAAACCCTCCGAAGAAGAGCCATCTATCGAAGCAGATCACCGACGAAGCTCAAAATCCCACCACGGAACGTCGTAGTACAGATGATACGCGTGTCAGTCGACAAGGTCCGGCACGTTCCCAAGCTAATACAAGTAAATCATCCGTCCCTCAACCAGCCCGCGCCCAGTCTCCAGAGGCTGCAGACGCTCCTGAGCTAATGCGCAGGCCCGCCTCGTCTTTCGAGATGCGGAGAGTACCAACGTCCCCGGTTCCCCAATATGTATCTTACAACCGCACTCCGCCGCTAGACGAGTACCCAACCCGGCAGAACCGCCGCTCGCTAACGTTCCCCAAGCGGCCCTCCAACTTACCCCCTATCGAGGAGCCAGTCTACACGCTATCGCCGCCCCCGGCCTTCTCGCCTAAGCGCTCGGTGCCTTCTCTCAAGGCTCTACAGCAGGAGGCGTCACCAAAGAAATTATCGGCGGTAGACATGAGCCCCAAAGCCCTTCTGACCAGGAGAAGCATGCCTCAACTCTCCGAAGGCCCGCCTCCTGCTCCTCCACCAACCTGCGCGCTTCCTCCACTTCCGGGGAAGCAAGCGGCTACCATGCCCAGGAGCACGAGAGCATGATGCTTGCCCGCGGGTAGTTTTTATGACATCCCTGCCCTTCGACACACTGAAGGACAGAACTTTTCCTTTTTTGTGTGCTTTTTTTTAAACTTACTACCCTTCTTGTACACCATTGTATACCCTAGGACCCATGATAATGACGGCGTTTTGTGATCGTGTTCGTGTTGCTTTACTATACGCATAGACCCATTTATTGTATGGGGGAAAAAGACAGACACCAACTACCCTTGCGGGAATCTTGTTTCATTAGCCAAAGAAGAAAAGAAAAGTACAGTATAGTATAGTGCATCTGAGGGGTTGGTAGGAATGAAAAGAAACGAAGACGACGAAAAGACTAGGTAGCTTTTTGATATCACGATGGATACGACTAGAGATGAGACGATATGAGCGGTGCTCTGACACGGGGAAGTATTTTGTGTCTGAGGACAGTACATGTTACGGCTTGGTAACAGCAGATAATCTTTTCCTATGTTATGCCTAGGCTGCCTAGGTGTTAATCCATACCAACCAAGAAGAGGCTGGGGAGTAGAATATTGGGCTTCTACTCACCTTATATATGGATGACCTTATATATGGATGTCAATATATTACTACTGTAGGTAGTATCAAAAAGTAAAATAAATAAAAAACTTGACGAAAAAACTCTAACTGAAATTAATTTTATGATTATTTTGGAACTGTATATTTATTAGAAGAGAAGCAAACAGACGTTGTTCTCTTTCAAAAAATATTTGTTGGAGCAAAGCCAATATAAGAAGGGGAATTGAGGCAACAGGCTGCTTAGTGTAGAATACATAGGTACTTGTTATGTGCACGGGCCAATAAAATTACCTAAAGCTGTATTAGAGAACCCTCGCCTTGTATTGATAGCGCGGGGCAAATCTTTTGGTACCGATAAGACAATTTGAGACCCCACACTTTGATCAGAAACTCTGACCTGAAATTATAATTCCCAAAAACACATTCAAAAACCGCCATCATCAACATTCGAGGTCCCTAGGTACCTAATTTATCAAGAAAATTACAAGTAATATACATAACAGACACAGCGAAAATGGCATCCAAGGCTAGGTAAGAGATTTTGATAATCTAATCTTCTTGCCGCTTCGCAAACGATTGATTACGGAGATGTAATGTGCTATATGCTAACGCACAAACAGGGACTGGGCCGACGACGACGAGGGCGACGACGTCTTAGTGGAGCTTCCCCCTCCCCAAACCATCCAGAACAAAGACGGTACCAAGACCACCATCACCTACCGATACAACGAGAACGGGCAAAAAGTCAAGACGACCCGACGGATCCGCCTAGTGACGCACCGCGAGGTCGTCAACCCGCGCGTCGCCGAGCGCAAGACATGGCAGAAATTCGGGCTCTCGGAAAAAGACGGGGCGGGCCCGCAGATGGACACGACGTCGGTGGGCGAGAACATCATCTTCCGGCTCAGCACGAACTGGCGCAAGGACACCAAGGAAGAGGCCAAGGACCCCAACGCCAACGCCATGAAGGAGAAGCTCAAGGACAAGACGGTCAAGTGCCGTATCTGCAACGGCGAACATTTCACCGCGAGGTGTCCGTACAAGGATACCATGGCTCCCGTCGGCGCCGAGGGCGCTGCCGATGTCGCTGCCGGCATGGGAGATGAGCCTTCGGCTGTTGCGGCGGGCGCTCCTGGCGCGGGCAAGAAGGGCAGTTATGTCCCGCCGGCGCTGCGGGGAGACCGTGGCGCGGCTGGTGGCGAGAGGATGGGCGGTGGAAAGTACGGCAGCGAGCGGGACGATCTTGCTACGCTGCGTGTGACAAACGTGAGTTTTACATGTCCCTATCATATCCCCTACTATATCCCCTACTATATCCCCTACTATATCCCCTATCTGCTTACCCCCTATCCCCCCCTTTTCCTTCCATTATCCTCTTCCCTTTCCTTCCTTCCATATCCCTACTCACACTCTCGGCATCAACGACATACGCTCTAACATAATCTACCGCAGGTCTCGGAAATGGCAGAAGAGAACGAGCTCCGCGACATGTTCGAGCGGTTCGGCCGCGTGACGCGCGTTTTCCTAGCCAAGGACCGCGAGACGGGGCTCGCCAAGGGCTTCGCGTTCATCAGCTTCGCGGACCGCAGCGACGCCGTCAAGGCGTGCAACAAGATGGACGGCTACGGTTTCAAGCATCTCATCCTGCGCGTCGAGTTCGCCAAGAAGGCTGCTTAGAGGACTATCTAGTAGTTAGACAGTTAAGGGGCGCTTGGTCTGTGACTATGCGAAGGGACGGGTGGTATGGAAGGGCTTGGTATTAAAGGCTTGCCATGCTAGACGGTGCGAACAGAATGAATGGATTTTAGGCACAGTAGGACACGGATACCTATTTAAATTTATTCAGCTCGTTACACATGTCATTCTCTGGGGAGATGTCTTCTCCGCCGTGTTTACTTAGCCCAGCGTGGCTTATTTCGAGGGTTGTTACGCATGATATGAATGCTAGGTTATGTAAGGCAAGTAGGTAGGTAGAATTAATATTAAATCTACCATCTAGTTCCCTTGTGTAATAGTCTGGTAGCCCTTGACAGGTACCTAGTTTCGTCTATATAGGTACCTATGTTTTCTTTAAGAGGTAAAAACCGCGTGCGCCGTAGGTCTTGATGGGGAATAAGGCGTATTTAATGACGAGATGATGAAAGTTGGTAAAGTAAAAGAGCTTGTTAAGGTTAGGGAATAGGTAGGCTTGTATTTACTTGCTTAAGTAGGTATTTAACTTATATACCTAGGTAACTTACCTCGTTTGTATATTAATTTGCCAACAAGCGATATTATAGTATTTTGGGTACTAGTATAATGTGGCATTGAGGACATATATATAACTTGGATATTTATCGTGATAAAGTCGGATCATATTTTTACCGCAGTTAACTTGAATCCATATATATAAATACGTTTTTGTGTGTAAAATCATCTCATGACATTGAACATAAGTTTTAAAGGCGATAACTAGAAGATTTATATAAGTGCGAGTCATGAGAGGTCGCCTGAGAATCTCTTGGTTGAATACAATATATATATCTAGGTACCTACTGATACTCTAAGGTGTCTCTCTATCATCATAATGTCTGGGGGTAATGACCGGACCTTTTACGTACCTTGGAGTAAACACACCTGTGTTTTAAGCACGATGGCTTAGGGACTCACTCATCTCGAAGACTAATGCCTTAAAACTTCAACTCTTAGGAGGAACCCCTCTTATATAATCAAGATCGAATAGTTATAAGAAGATGATGACAACAATTCGGTCGGTTTATGCTCTAGGTTATGGTTATGTATAAATGAAATCATCAAGACGGACGTAGTTTAACGTTTACAAAATCAAGGCCTTACCTAATATTCGTATGTCTCATTACATAAGCGTAGCCGACGGAACACCCCTCGTCGGATCGGGTAACTAAAGATTCCTAACCGACCCAACCCCTCCGCCCCTCCAACGTCTTCACTCCTATTGGTGGTGATTGATTAGCCGGTCTTGCAGACTCTTGCATTCTAGAACGTGCTGGTACCTAGCCGCCTAGCCGGATGTTGCATCTTGCATCTCGTCTTGCATGTGACGCGCATCCGAAAGCAATCCTTCAGCCTTAGGAATAGCGAATAATTAATACATATACTACATTACATTACAATGTACATACCATCCCACGCGACATTCGACTGGGTAGTATTTGTTGACATTTAAATATTTGTTGACGAGCCGGGATTGGGTAAAGATTGGATTGGTTTGCCTAAGGTTTGAGACCATATGTAGTGACGTCGTACAGAAAAACGGTGCATACCTCATGCTACATAACCAAGGTAGAAAACGGCCACGGCATGTGCTACATGTACCTACATATTTGCCGTACATGGTACACAGTAAAGTTTAGGTATTTACATGGTACCTACCTATATAAGGTTATGACTAAATGCACCTCACGTGGAACCGGTCCTTCATCACCCAATTGAACTCTTCCACACTCTTCTGCATTCTGCATTTAAAAGTATATTCTCTATTCGCCAAGAGGTTGTCTATTGAAAAAAACACACAAAAAATATCCTCCACCTCTTTTCCCACTTCTTCTCGTCTCTTTTTCTCAACGCTCCCAATTGCCAAACTCAACTTTTGGCCCCTCTTTGTCTCTACATGGCTGCTAGTAGACGAGGCTCATTACGCATCATTGCCTGATATCTAAGCTTAAGCTGCCGGAGAACATCTAGACGTACATAAGATATCTAGTCTAATGACCGCAACCGGTGATTCCGCTGCCGGGGTTGGCGAATTACGCCACAGGCAGGTAACGGCGAATGAACATGTAAACAGTGATAACGTTAGTGAAGATGGCAGTGAAGATGTTGTGACATCGTCTAAGCCCAGGAAGACCTACGGCCGTACCAAAGATGGAACAAGTAAGCATATGAAGTAGAATACGAATCCACACCGGATACTAATAATTACATAAATAGTCTTCACGGTTCCTACTACTCATGACATGGTGTCGCAATTGCTCGACCCTAGAGAACCCAAGAATCTATCGGATGCAATTGTCCTTGCTGTTCTTGCCGGTCACATTTTGACCTTGTATCTGCTCCCGGACTCTCTAAGGCGGCCCGTGTTCGCCGTTGTCTTCTTGTTCTGGCGTACATGTTATAACCTTGGCATCGGCATTCTTCTACGCTTACAGTCAAACGATAACAAACTTGTAGCATGGGCTCAGAAATGGAAGCTCTTCGAAAACCCGTCGACCGGCAAGAACCCGCGGCCATGGCTGTACCAGATTCTCAAGCGCGAGCTGGAGATCAAGATCCCTGAGGACTACCAGTTTGAGAAAGCCCCAATTGAGTACAACACTTGGCTAGTCTTCAGACGGCTTGTGGATCTCATTCTCATGTGTGATTTCGTCTCATACTGCTTATTTGCTATCGCTTGTGCTCACGTTCCTTCTGGAGAATCCATCTACGTTACCATTAGCCGATGGGTCTTTGGATGGCTCACTATAGGATTCAACGTCTGGGTCAAACTTGATGCCCACCGAGTTGTGAAAGATTACGCCTGGTACTGGGGCGATTTCTTTTACTTGATCGATCAAGAATTGACCTTCGATGGTGTATTCGAGATGGCTCCGCACCCAATGTACTCAATTGGGTATGCGGGATACTATGGCATTTCCGCGCTTGCTGCTAGCTACGCTGTCCTCTTCATCTCCATCGTTGCTCATGCTTCGCAGCTCGCCTTCTTGATCTTCATCGAGGATCCTCATATTCAAAAGACATACAACCCTCCTACTCGCAAGAGTGAGGTACCCGCCAGTCCCCGAATCCATAAATTGTTAGGTATCAAAAACTTCGACCTACTAAGGACCGTCGATTATTCTACTTTTATAAATATCGGGCTTATCGCTCTTTTTGCTATCACCACGCCCCAGACGCCGTTGTACCAATCTATATTCTTCACGCTCGCGCTCTTGGTTCGACTCTGGTACTCCATTGGATTAGGTGTGATCCTGACCCGGCAGTCCAATAGTAAAGCATGGACTCGCCACTTTTTGAAGGTTGGAGAGACTCCAGAGGAGGGCTGGCGGCAGTGGAAGGGGTACTATCACATTACCCTTAGCCTGTGTTATGCTACCTTCATCGCTGCCTGCTGCAAGATGTACTCAGCTCCGGTCGACTGGAACTACGGATTCGTCCTGCTCAGACACGTCATCGGTGCCAGCCTCATCGCTCTTCAAATCTGGACCGCTGTGAGCATTTATGACTCCCTCGGCGAATTTGGTTGGTTCTTTGGTGACTTTTTCTTCGACCAAGGTGCGAAACTTACGTATACTTCGATCTATCGTTACTTAAATAACCCGGAGAGAGTGCTTGGCACTGCTGGCTTATGGGGTGCGGCCATCATCACATGGAGTAGATCTATACTCGCTCTTGCGTTAATAAGCCACCTTCTAACTCTTGCATTTATTCACTTCGTCGAGAAACCACACATGCAAAAGATTTACGGACGCGAACTAAGGCGTGAAGCTGGCTTGACGAAATTCATCAAGCGTTCTCTGCCTCCGCCTGTTGTGGAGTGGCAGTCGAGCGTCAATAAGGTCATGGATGAGACGTCACACTTTGTGGAAGACTTTTTGGATACCGCACGCCCGAAGTTGGCTTCAGGTGTCTCGACTATCGTGAGGGATACTACGGCGCTCTTTAATAAATATCCTGCTCGTCTCACCTTGACGAAGCTTTCGCCTGATCTCGCAGGCCTCGACCCTAAGCAGTATTCTATCAGCGTGGAAGGTAAAGCATCAGGATTCTCCGCTCTGACAGAACGAGCTAGCGGCAAGGAGGGCACAGCGGGACGATTCCCCAATGAGCTAAAGACAATGATTTTCGAATACGGCGCCCCCATTAAAGTCAAGTGGAGAGCACCGGCGAACCACGGGAGAAAGGATTGGATTGGTCTCTATATGGTAGCCGACAATCGATCCCGTGAGATCACCGAGCTTTCATCCCTTGGACGATGGATTCCTACCGTGCCTGGCCAATTCGAATCTACCACGGCGGATAGGGGTATCCTGACATGGGATCAACCCGTCGAAGACGCCGATAACAACGACGGTAACCTAGTAAGCGGGGAGATGGTCTTCTCGGGAGATAAGCTATGGTGGACGCAGGGTGTCTTCGAATTCCGGTACCACCACGATGGAAACCACAACGTCATGTCCATCTCGCAACCCTTCGAGATTCACATCAACCACTTCGACTACAATGACGTGGACGCGGATATCGAGGGCTCGGTTCAGCAGGCCGTTGAATCGGCGCTCCTGCCCGTGGTCCAGAACTGCCTCGATCGCGACCCGGATATCGCGCCTAGCACGCCCGTGGAACCGTTCGGTAGCCACGTGGAGAGGGACGGCAAGTATGCTAAGAGATTGGTGTATGCCATTCATCAGATGTTCGGTATCGAATTCGCACCGGCGGTGGTGCCTGCTGATGGAAATGTGAGAAATCTTGCTTGGAGGATATGTAATGCGAAACAAGTCTTGGTAAGTGATGTTCCGACCCCCTCGCGAAATCGTGAAAAAGGCACGGTGTGACTAATATACGTCTATCATAGGCTCCTTACAGTATGTCCTGCTCGAAGGGAACGACGACGCCTGGGGCCGAGAAGTAGGAGGGGTACCTTGGGTAATTATAAACATTGGGGTATTGGGGAGCATATACAGGCATATATACCTAGGTACACACATACATACCTTGTGGCAGTATCCCGTGCATCATGTAATCCAGTAATCATAAATATCAACGGGGGCGGAGTTAGCAGGACTGAGCGTTTGGTGTTGGTGTTGGTGTTGGTGTGTTGGCGGTTTAGAAAACGTTCGAGGGTAGGGATTTTTGGTTGGTGAATGCATGAATGAATACCTAATCCAGCCTGAGGTACTTGTTTTGTGTCTGATGAAAGATACGATGTTTGAATTATGGTGAACCTTGGTAGACACGTAGGTGGTGTATATG